CGCAGCGGGCAGGGCGCGGACAGGGGCGCGGCCCATGGCGGGCTCGGGGCCGCTGCGCTCCAGCTCCGGCTCCGGCTCCGGTGCGCCCGCCGCCGGATTGTTCGGCGCGCCGGCCCCGCGCGCCTTTGCGCGCCAAATCCTTTTTGCCGCGAAAAGCGGCGCGAGCCGCCCCGCCGCCCGCCCATTGGCTGCGCCCGCCGCGGCCGGGAGGCGGGAGCGCGCTGCCATTGGCCGGGGCCACAGGGGAGGCGGGCGATGCCGCGCGGCCATTGGCGGGCGGGGGCCGCGCTGACAGGCAACCAATCAGCGGCGCCGTGCCGGGGCGGCGGCCAATGGGAGCGCGGCTCGGGGACGCGGAGGGGGCGCCGCGTGGGTGCGGCGCGCTCCGTGTGTCCCCCCCTCGGGGGTGTCCCCTCCCGCGTCCCTGTTTGTGTTCCCCGTGTCCCCCCCGGGTGTGTCCTCTCTCGTGTCTCTGTGTCCTCCATAGGGGTGTCCCCTCCCCAGTCCCTGTTTGTGTCCCCCGTCTCCCCCCCGGGGCTGTCCCCTCCCGTGTCCCCCTCTTGTGTGCCGCCGCGGATTCCTCGCTCCGACCCGGCCCCGGCTCCCGGTTTCCCGCCGTGGGGAGTTCAAGGCTCAGGCGGAGCCGGTCCGGCCCGGGCTCAGCCCCGCCGGGGTGATGGGCTCCCAGCCGCTCCCCGCTCCCCTGCCCGGAGGACAGGGCACGCACCCACGAGCAAAGTCCAGCTCTCTGCCCTGCCCTGCGGACTCCGCCACCCACGGGTGTCACTGGTGGGGAAGAGGGTGGCGTTGGGCTCTGCGGGGTGTCCCAGGCTGTCCCCCGTGTGTTCCCCTTGCCCAGGGGTGACAGCCAGGCCAGCCTGGCCCGGCCCCGCAGCAATGCCTTGCTTTGGGGACATCAGTGGTGCTCAGCCGTGCTGGGGCAGGAGCTCTCCTGTACTGCGGGCCAGGCGACTGCAGGATTTTAGTCTAGAAGTGCTGGAGCGATGAAGGGCTCGGTGCAGGGTTGCCCACCTCCCTTGTTCAAAAGACCTTGGATGAGGCTGTTGGGCAAGGCTGGAGGCTTCAGCCTCGCTGCTCCAGGGGTCCAGCGCGCACTGGGATGCTGCAATCTGCTCCATGCGTTCGGCCGATGATTCACGGCATTCTGTGTTTCCAAACAGCTGCGGATCTCGGCAGCTCCTTCAGGACTGCCTGATAACCCCTTAGAGGGCAGAGGAAAAGCTCTGCCGCCAGCACAACCTGCACTTGACCGTGCCAGGCGCTGTCTCCGGCCGTGGGACCGTGTGGCTGGGGAGAGGCAGGGACACAGGGACGCAGACGGAGCCGGGAGTGGCCCCATATGCTGAGAGAGATGAGAGTCCACCCACGGGACACGGGGCAGGCGGCTCCCAGCACCAGGATCTCCTGCCTGCAGGACACTGATAACCTCCTGCTGCATGAGGAAGCAAAATTAAAAAGGAAAAAAGTACATCCTACTAATTAAAAAAAAAAAAAATTAAAAAACATTTAAAGATTAGGCCTTTTGCAGGGCCCAGATGTGGGGAAGCTCGTAAGGAAAGTGTGGAGCAGGGTCTGATCCAGACGCCCAAACCCCTGCTGAGCCAAGCCCAGGGTTTGACCCCTCTGTGCCCCCCATGAGCTGCCCCATGTGTCCCCAGGGGTCAGTGGGTGAGCCCAGTGGCCCCCAACCCGCTGCTGCTGCCAGGCAGGGCTGGGAGCCAGCGCTGGCTCCTGCCCCAGCCCCGCTGCCAAGCCTGACCTGCCTGGGATACAGAAGGGCTGTGCAGGAGAAGGGCTGCTTTTCCCAGCAGTGCGTGGGATGCAGGAGGCATTTGCAGGGATGAGTTAACTCCTCTGCCGCGGAGCAGATCCTGACATGCAGTGCCCCTGTGCTGGCCTAACAGGTTTCTGGCTTTAAAGGATTTTATGCTGGATATTTTGGCAGTGGCTGCAGTTCCCTTGGGGATGGCCAACGCTGAGCAGGGCCGTGATTTCCCTGGATCCCTCCATCCTTAAATACAGCAGGAATATGGTGCATGTCCGTGACCAATCAAATCAACTCGCTGTGCTTCATTTCTTCATCAGCAGAGCGCAAACAGAAACGCTGCCTTGCTTAAAGGAAATTAATACAGTTAATTAACACTTGGCCCTTCTAATATTCCAGGCCCCACTCTCCAGAGCCCTTCCACTGCAATATCATCATTACTACGAAGCATAAGCAACAGTTAGACCAGATGTTTGCACACAGTTAATGCTTCTTCCATCTGGGGAAGGGGGAAAAGGCAAGCCCAGCAGCCGGGCTGGAGCGCATGGCTGGCGGTGCTCTCCCCATCCCCGGGGAGCCTCAGCCCGGTGCTTCCTGGGATGAGGCAGGGTTTGGGACACAGCTGCTGCACCAGCTGCTCCCGCTCGGCTCACAAAGGCTGCCTTCACCCCCCCTAATTCATGCAGGAGCTTTTCGGGGGGAGCAGGCTCTGCCCCCTCTCCCGGAGGCTGCGCTGCCACTTCTCCTTGGCTTTCAGCGCCGGCGGCGCGAAAAGGGGCGGCTGTGAGACAAATAAAAGGCGAACGCTGGTGGGAGAAGGGCGGGCAGGGCCTTTCCTTGCATGTGGATGAGGGGAAACAGATGAATTCTGTCTCCTGCACAACTGCAGCCCCGCTAAGCAGTGCAGACGTGCTCCCAAGATTAGCCGTGTGGCAGGTGCTGCTCCCAGATAAAGCCCTGTCTGCACGGCCCTGCTGGCTCCTGGAGAGCATCAGCACGGCTGCCCCGACACCCTGTGCCCCAGCAGGATTCAGCCCGAGTTTGGGTGGGTTTGGCACTGCGGGATAGACTCGGGGTAAGGGTGTGTGCTGGGAAAAGTCTGCAGCCGGAGCACGGCTGGTACCTGCGCTGGAAAATCCCCTGGCAGCGGGAGCAGGGGGGAGGAGAGCTGGCAGGATGCAAAGCGCAGCTCTGGGCTCAGCATGTCGCTGTCCCAGCAGCACAGGTACTGTCCCTGCCCTCGCAGTCGGTCCTGCCTCCAGCAGTTCCCACACAAAGTGTGCCGAGCTGTCACGTGGAAGGACAGCAGGACTTCCCTGGGGTCTCCTGCCAGTGCCCCGTTCCCAGGTCACCGGTTTGTTCACAAGATGGGGAGTTGGCAGTGTGGCACAATCTGCCTGTGGTGCCAACAGGCAGCTGGGGAAAGCCAAGAGCCCCCAGCTCTGCTGCCCTGACCCTACAGTCCCTCACCTCTGCCACCTGAGCCATCGCTGTTGCTCTGTGCAAACCAAAGCAATTTTCTGGAAGCACAAAGTGTCTAAAGCTGGCTTGTGGCAGAAGGGAGCAGGCCTGGTTTCGGTGTCTCCTCTCAGATCCCAGTCCCAAAAGCCAGGCAGTGCCTGTTCCCTTGCATCTTTTTCAGAAGAGGACACAGCCCTTCTCACAAGACACCAGGTCAGCTCCTCTTCTGGATGCTGGGCACACCAGACTCAGCAGTGCCATCTCCTCCTCTCCTGTGGTGGCATCTGCTTTTAAAGCTCACACTGTGCAGTGTCTCAGAGGAAGGCAGGGGCACAGAGCCTGCTCCCCTCCTGCTCTGCTCTCCACACCCAGCCAGGGCAGCCTTGTCTCATCCTCTGAGCTAAACCACCACAAACACTGAAAGCCACTCCTTTCCACAAGGCTCTTCCATTTCCTTCACTCAAAGCCCATGGAAGAACAGAGAGGCTGAAGTGTTTTTGGGGAGCCTGGGGCTGATCCAGGAGCGATTTGGGAATATGCCAGGCTCTAGCTTCTACCTCTCCTTAGTGTCTCCAGCCAGTCCAGGTTCACTTCCCACCACATGGCCACTGGCACTGAGAACCCAAAAGTGCTGAAACACTTTTACTTTTGCCAGAACAAAACCTGTAGGTCACCCAGAGCTTCACGTGGGGCAGAACGAGAGCTCAGACAGAGTGTGACGCTCTGTGAGGAGGAAAAAGCCACTTGAAGGCAGCACTGCCATCAGTTTGGAGGTGTTAATTTGGCTTCTCATGGGCCCAGGCTGGACACTCCAGCATCCCAACAGCTACAAAGCTGGAGGTTTGGTCTTACAGACACTCAGCCATTCCTTCACCCCCACCACCACAGCAGTCACCTCCACAGCACATTTCCTCTGAACTTTTAGCTTGGAAGAGGCAGCTAAACCATCCACAGATATCCTTATTTTCTCTCTTTTTCATATTAAAAAACAAAACAAAACAAAACATAAAGGGGTGTCAGCCATCCCAATTTGTTTCTGCAGGTGGCACCCTTACCCCTGCAGGAATTAAATCTGATGGTGAGGTCAAAGCAGCACTGGCTGCTGTTCCCAAGCTGGTAACACCAGAGCCCAAACCATGCCAAAACTGCACCTTGTGCATGGCTTCTCTACATCCAGGACTACAGACATGCAATAATCAAGCAGCACTTCATAGATTTTAGCTTAAAAACGATGACAGTAAAAAAGGACAAAAATTTAGGATTTTTATTTGTAGACAAAGCACAGTATTGTAATATTCAAAGAGTGATTATACAGAAATAATGGCCACAAGAAGGTGATTCATAGTGGACAGAGCCATGTCAGCAACCCCCTGCCCTCTCCTTTTATTGTTTTAAACCCAAAATCAGAGATATTTCTACAAGCATTCTGATCAGTGTCACATTAAGTTACCTGAGTTTATGTTCTTTAGTTTATTCTATGCTGTCAGAAAATCAGGGCCTGGATTACACAGCAATTATGAATACAAAATATATCTCAAAAGCAGAGGTAATAATACCTGTATTATAGACCTTTTAGTTTGTTTTTCTCCCTCCTCACCACCAGAGACATGAAAATTCTTCTAAGTAAAGAAAAAAGTTACCTCCTCCACCAATCTGGTAGGAACACACAGGTTGAAAACTCAAGATTAACACCCCAAAAATATTAACAGTGGCAGACAGACATGACGCCTTATTTTCCCTCCTCCCTTATCTGTTGGGTTTCAAAAGCAGCATCAGAAAACACATTCAGCTTCAGGCTGGCACGAGCCAGGGAGACAAACACAGCCTGACAAACAGGGAGCAGCACACGGCTCGGGGTGCTATCCAAAGGTCACCTTTGTGCTGGTGCAGGGAAAAGGAGCTGGAGTCCCAGCAGCTTCTCCTGGTGAGGGATCTGCACAGGCTTCGTGGCAGCTCCCAGCTGGCTGCAGAGCTCACCCTGCACAGGGGGAACCAGCTTTGGGGCTCTTTCAGCAGCCAGGGATCATCTCTGCCCTTCCACCCATACCCAGCTGGGTGTAAAGCAGAGCTTGACCTACTCCAGCAGGGCAGGAAAGCCTCACAGCACCAACAGCAAAGCTTCTCTGCACCCTCTCCACCCTGGCACAGGGTGCCCAGAGCAGCTGTGGCTGCTCCATCCCTGGAAGTGCCCAAGGCCAGGCTGGATGGGGCTTGGGGCAGCCTGGGATAACAGTGGAAGGTGTCCCTGCCCATGGCAGGGGGTGGGATGGGTTTTAAGGTCCCCTCCCACAGTTCTCTGATAAATGCCCTGAACAAGGCCAGTTCTCTGGTCATTGCACAGACACAGGGATGGTGGCCAGGACAAATGCAGTGTCCCATTACAGACACAGGCTCACACCTCCCAGCAGCCCCAGCCTCCTCGAGCCCTCCTCTGCAGCACTGAATGGCCAAACACAGGTTTTGCTCTTAGAAATACCCTCTCCTTCACTGCCAGCATCAAACACAGCCCAGAAAACCTTCCCTAACCCAAATGTCAGGCAGCTGTCTCATTTTCACCTTTGTTAAATAATGCAATTGTCCCGGAAAGGGTTCTCCAGCCATCCCCAGAGCCAGCCCAGCACACAAGCTGTCCTCCAAAGGGAAGGGAAGCACAGTGGGTATGCCAGGGCAGCAGGCAGCAGCAGTAAATAACCCTGAGCCTGCTTTGTTCCTTCATAAAATAAATGATTAATAGCCCAGGATAGTCAGTCTGCTTGAAAAGCTCAGGATTGCTGAAAACTTTTGATCAGTTTGATTCATTAACCTTTAAAACTGCCTCTAAGAGAGGCTTAAAATCTGAGGGAGAGGCATCATTTTAAACACTTGAATTTTATCCAGTGTTCTTCTTTTTTGACACTCTGCTCCTCTTTAGAGACACCATCAGTCAGGTGACAAGGAAAAAATAACAAGGGGAAAACTAAAGTTGCTGTAGACAAACAACCCCATGCTCATCTTAAAATTCAAAACCAGTCAGGGCTGGGGGAGAAAATGACCCTTCTTTGTGATCCTTGAGTACTTGGCCATATGCAGGTGGCTTCCCAACTGTCTCTTTATTTCTTTTGCTTTTAATGCTAATAAAAAGGGAACCCAAACAGGGCACTCCATTCCCCACACAATGGCCTGGGGGAGGGCAGGGAGTGTCACTTATATATCCCAAAAGTCTGACTCAGACAAATTACTTCTAGTTCAGTTCCCTACTACACGCCTGCATTGTTCCAACACCTTGGCAGCAGAAGGGGCTCATCCCCAGCTATCTGCTCCCAGAACAGCCACGGGGGCTGATGTCATTAAGGAGCTGTCCCAATTACTTCCCTGGGGAAAGCAGTGACTTGCAGCTTAACGTCCTGCCCCAGCCCAGCAGGAAAAGCAACGGCCAGCAGAGCCCCAGGGGCTGAGCTCCAGGGAGGAGCTGGGATCCAGGGATGGCAGCTGCCCCCTGCAGCCCCACTGCAGATGGCTGCAGGCTCGGGCAGAGCTTCCTCAGAAAGGGAGAGATTCCCAAGAGAAAAGGGGTGCTTTGAACCAAGGAGAAGTCATGGTCACTGCTGCCAGGCTGACTGACTGCAGACACTGGTTTTTGGCTGGGATTTGTTTTCTGGAGGGGACAGAGAGCAGTGTGAAAAGGTCAGAAAGACCACTGGTCCTTCCTTCTCTGCTTCACCAGCAGCCACAGTGGTACAATGCCCAGCAGAGGAAGGTTATTCCACCTCTAAGGGAACCACAAGCTACAAATTTAACAGATCAAAACCTTCTCAGAGACCCCGAGCCCACAGCTACTTTTGCTGCAATAATTACACATGGTCAAGGATTTGTGAGTTTAATAGTTTTAGGGAGCAATTCCCAAGCCACAGCTGTCAGCTTTCTGAAATCCCATCAAAGCTTGCAGGAATTCAGCAATTTTAGCAGAATACCAATGCTCTTAGTTGGAACAATACTGAGGCTTCTGACAGAAAAATTGTGATGCTTAAAGTACCCAGCAATGGTGGAAAGAAAGATGTTTATAAAGGAATCAGACCTCACCTGTAGCTTCAGCAGTTTCTCTGTACTAAATCTTTATGTTTCTCCATACAGAGAAAAATATTTAACCAAAAGAAACAAACCAAATTCCTAATTTTACAGCTTTCATGAGGTCTGATGGATTCCAATTCAATTATTCAGTCCAGACTGTAAGAGCAGTCAATTAGAAGTTAGCAATGAAATTAGAAGTTGAAGGGATCATAGAGAGTTATTATGACAAAGAAGTATCTTAGTTTTTGGGCACCATGTACATCATGGATTTGCATGGACAAAGAAAAGTGGAAAAATAAATAGCAAGGAGGATTCTGAATATGTGCAAGAGTAATAAAGGAGTTTAGGAGGACAAGGAAAAATTACTTAAGATTAAACTGAGTTTTTGTTTCTATTCTGAAGCTCCCTGAAGTTAAATGTACCATTTCAGCTGTACCACTGGAGAAATTGTCAGAGCCTGGAGGGTAAAGAGTTCCAAAGATGATGAAGAGAGCATCAGCAGGATTATGAAATGCCATGGGCAGGTCAGGGGAAAGCAGGTGCATAGAGGGAAAGTGAACCAAACAGTCCCAACTGAGCCAAAGGGAGCAGGGAATTATTATAATGATTCTCTTGGAAATATCACCACATCAAACCAGCGTGGCAGGAATTACTGCAATGCACATCATTGAGTGAACTGTAGTGTTATAAGGCAGGTGAGTGCTTTGCACTATGAGGAGCTTGAATTCATTAATTGATTAATTAAACCAGTTTTTGTGCTTGCTCAGCTATCTAGTCAATCTTCTGCCATAGCCCAGGGCGTGCTGCCCTGTCCTGGGGCTCTGCAGAGTGTTTTTGAGAGGAAGAAAATGAATAAATTAATCCATTAAATTAAGCCTGCACAAACGACAGGTACAAAATCAGATTCAAATCTGGTTACAGCCAACACTTTCCACTGCTGTGGAGGGCAGATCCTGCACCTCAGAGAAACCCTTGTCATGCTCCACCAAAAGAAAAGTGCTTGGGAAATGTTGCTCCCTTAGACACACAAAATCCCCAGCATGAGATCTGAGGCCTGGTAATAGAGGAGCTCAAGTTGTGTAACTGTTTTTGGTATTTAGTTCAAGCAGCTTTTAAAAGCTTTACAAACAAGTTTAAAATAATTACAGGGTATTCATTAGTGCACTTTGCAGAGGCACAGATTCAGCCCAAGTGTAGGAAAGAAACCAAGCAGAAATAGTCTTTCCAGGCTGGTACAAGACAATCCTAACAGTTCTGTTCCCACACATTTTATTGTCTCCCTGAGGGAAAACTGCAGAGGAACTCTCTCAAGGAGCACATAACCGTCCTTATATTAGTTTAAACAGAATTCCCAGCCATCCACAGCAATGAAGAACTGATGGCCCTGCTCTCAGAGCTCAGCAGGTCCCCTACTCCCTTCACCCTCCATCACACCACAGTGAGCAGAGCAGCACAGAAAAAAAACACTTGTAAACATTCAGATGAGCCCTAGAACGTGTTATCATACTCTGCACTTAGTGTCAGGCTGTCATTTTATAAATATATTTAGTTTTTAAAGAACCCTAATGCCACACTTGTAGGGAAAATAAGGCCTCTTAAAACCAGACTGCAACAAGTGTCTGTGGGGCATGTGCTTGCTCCAAGAGGAGCCAAAAGACTGCTCAGAACATTCTGGCCTGGAGACAAGAGCCAACTCTGCTTGATAGATGATAATTCAAAAAAAATCACAGGTCAAGAGCAACAGAATAACCTTTTTCCCCAGCTGCTGGGAGGTCCCATCCCATTCCAAGGTGTTTTAGAGGGAAGCACCTACTTGCTGTCTGTCCTTTTGTTGTAAATGAGGAAGTCAGACACGTCGTGCCACACCTCACTGTCCTCGTACAGGTAGGTCATGGAGGACTGCAGGGAGGGCTGCAGAGTGTCCCTGTGGTATTCAAAGAGCCACAGGACTGTCCCCCACACCAGGGCAGCCAGGAGAGGGAAGGGATCCTGCCTGGGCTGTGGGATGTAGCCCTTTTCCACAGCCAGCCGGGACAATCCGAACAGGATCCGGGACAGCAGGTACATGATGATCTGCAGGAGGAGAAACCCAGGGAGCAGGGGTGAGTGCTGAGCACAGCCAGCTCCAGGCCTTCACAAGTGACAACCCGGCCAGGAGGGACAGGAACAACTCCCCCACTTCAAAGCCAACAGGCTGTCATTTCCCCTGTCAGCACTCTGCCAGCCACGGGTGCTTGTGTCTCCCCCAAGGCCTGCTGCTCTGATTTGGCAATCGCCAGGCTGCATTCCATGCAGCACTGCTGGGCAGTTGCACAACTTCTGTCTTTGCCCAGCTCATGCAACCTCAGATGGTGCTGATGGAACAGTCCCAGAGCAGTCCTGCCAAGCAGGTGTGAGCTCAGGAGTCTGGACACAGCCTAACACCAGGCCTGGCTTAAGTCGAGCACTTTGGATTAATCTGCAGCTCTGTGTTTTACTCCTTGGTTTGTGACTGTGTGTTAACAACCAGCTTTAAATTGAACACCCCTTGAGCAGCTTTCATCAGTTTAACCAGTGCAGTGGTCAGCTTAACCAGTTTAGTTGTAATTTTAACCAGTTCAGTGGTCAGTTTAACCAGTTTAGTGGTGAGTTTAGTTGCCATTCCAACCAGTTTAGTGGTCAGCTTGGCCAGTTTAGCTCAGTGCAGCTCTAACTGATCAAGTTCTACACTCCCAACACTTCAGGTGAAGAGTTTAACCCTGTGATGGCCAGACCAGGAACACACAGGTAGTGGCCACAGCTCAGGTGACGGGTGGGACAACCCCACAGCTTTGGGTGACCTGACTGCTTTCCTACAAACTCAGTGCAGTTCTGGAGGCAAACCTGGGCTTCCAGCACTGCAACTGCCCACACTGCTCATGGAGACACACAACCACACCTGGGACTTGAGTGCAGAGCAGTCAAAACTGCAATTTGGGCAGAGAACACGATAAAAGAGCAATGCTCTGTGGTCAGAACCACCCGAAACAGGTGCCCCCAACCACTTCCTGGCACACCTGTTGTTTATCCCGGCCAGAGAAACTTTCAGCAAGTGCCTTTACCTGGCTGTTGATGGGATTGTTGTCACCAAACACCAGCCAGCCCCCAATGCAGGCTGCAAGGAAGGAATGGAATGGGATTTTTTTCCCCTGCAGCCGGGACTGCGCCGCCAGGAGCCCCTTGTAGGTGAAGACAAAGTAAGCCAGGTTCCGGGAGTGAGCGTACGTGGCCTGGGCAATGGACCTCAGCTTCTCCCTCAAACTGAGGGAAACAAACACACAATTACAGGAGAGAAAAGGCAACATCCTGCGCTCACTCAGCTGGGCACTGCACTCCCCACCCACACTGATGGTTTGGGCACCCCAGCAGTATCTTAGGGAGGAGCTCTGGCTTCCTCAGCAGAGCACAGCCCTACCCAGACTGTGGACTGTGTTTCATTTTCTCACTACTCAAACAGCCCTTGTAAAACTTTTTTATTGCTAAATGCAAACCACAACGTGCACTGCTATAGCCTGGGTTCCCATATTTTAACACAGGACAGAACATTGCTGTTGGCATCTGCTAATTTCCCTTCTGTCCACATCAACCATTCCATGAGTGCTTAAACCCCTCAATTATAAATATTTGTGTGTGTTTCACTATCAGGACAAGGCTCAACCACGGCTCACACATCCTTCTGCTTTTTAAACCCCCTAGAAACATGGAAAAGGGACAGCTGTGATGAAAGCATTCTAAGCAGCAACACAAAAATACAGATTTAATGTTCGTACCTTCCACTCTTGAACAGGAAAGTCATCACCAGGGCGTGCGGGGCGCGGATTTTGGCTCCATAACTGTAAAGGTGACAGATATTTTATAGAGTTCGCTTTATACTATGAAATTATTGTACTTCTAGTCTACTAACAGACAAAAAAGGCTATTTAGCCAAATATCTATGACTTTTAAGCCAGCCCAGCAGCACAGCAAACCGGGAGGAGCCCAGCTGGAGAGAGAAGAGCACACGCACCTCAGCGAGGCAGGCCCGAGGGGACCCCAAACCCAGCCCAGCCGCCGTGAGGGAGCGGAATCGCCTCCGCCACAGCACCACCCCGGCCTCCCCACCGGCCGGGAGGGATCCAGACCCCGCCGCCCGGGCCCGGCACTCACACGGCGCCGTTGCGGAAGCCCTTGATGACGGCGAGCGCGGCGTGGTAGCGGCGCTGCTGCAGGAGCGCGTTGGCGGCGCGGAGCAGAGCGCGAAGCGAATCCCTGCTGCCCGCCATGGCCCCGCCGGCCATGGCGCCCCGCCACACGCCGCTTCCGGGGCCACCGCCCCGCCCGCCGCTCCCATAGGCCCGCATTCCTGTCAATCACAGCTCTCGGCCAATAAGCGGCACCACCTCACCTTCTCATTGGTGCGGAAAGTTTGTCCTACAGCCAACGAGGGCTGAGCGAGGCGTCCCGCCCACCCGCTCCGTGAGGGCGGCGGGCGCCACTGTGAGCCCGGCCCGGCACAGCCCGGTCATGGGCCGGGGGACGTGGCCGCCGCGGTCGAGCCGGAAGCCCGATCAGGGCAGAGGGCGGCCACCGGGCGGTCCCTGCTCGGTCTGCGCGGGCTGTCGTAGTGCCTCTCCCCGAGTGCCGCGCCCCGAGTTGAACACGATCCCCCCGCCCCCGGGCCTCCCCCACCCCTCCCGCGCTGTGGGCCCGTAGCAGGCGGCGGGCGCCCCCTGGCGGCTCCGCTGCCGCCGCCGCTCCAAGATGGCGCAGGCGATCTTCGAGGCGCTGGAAGGTAACGGGGCCAGACCGGGGCCGCGCCGGGACCTCCCGGGCCGCGGCTGCAGCCGGGGTGCGCGACCCCCGCTCCTCCGAGCTCCCCCTGTCCAGCGCCGCCGCCGCGCGGGTCGAGCGGCCGCCGCGGGGTCGCCCCGTGAGGCCCGGCCCGGCGCGGCGTGTGGCGCTCCCGGTAGCCCCGGGCTGTCTCCCGCGCTGCTCCTCCGCTGCCCGCACCGCAGGCGCGGCTGCAGTCCCCGCCGGCAGCCCCCGCCGCAGCCCGCGGCTCCCCACGGCGTCCGCGGCTCCCTGCGGCAGCACTGTCACCTCCGGTCCCCCGGCCCTGTGCCACCTCCTGCCTGCGCGCCGCCGCATCCCCGCACCGCCCAGCGCAGTGCCCCGTGCACCGGGCAGCCCTCGTTAACCGCGGGCCCTGTGCTCGGTGCACCGCGTCCCCACCCTGTGCCAGTGCCCGGCGGCCCAAGGCATCCCGTGCCTTCCCTGCTCTGTGCCTGCTGCTCTGGGGCGCCTCATCCCTACCCTGTCCCTGTGTGTGCTGCTCCTGGACGCGCCATCCCCATCCTGCCCCTGCTGCTCCTGGATAGTCCATCCCCGTCCTGTGTGTGCTGCTCCTGGACGCTCCATCCCCATCCTGCCCCTGCTGCTTCTGGACGCTCCATCCCCATCCCGCTCCTGGTGCTCCAGCCCCTCCCAGCTCCTGTGCCCACCGGGGCGTTCCCATCACCCCCGTCGCTGTGCCCAGGAAGCAGCACCACCAATGCCCAGGGCACTCTCACCACTCCTGCACCTCCCGTGTCCCTGCATGCTGGGGTGCCCCGTCCTCCCCATGCCCCAGGGCTCACACTGCCCGTCCCACTGCTGTGCCATGCTCCGTGCCAGCCCCAGGGATAGTGCCTGGGTGGGTGCTGGCCCCTGCATCTGTATTTTGAGGGGTGGCTGTGCTCTTTGGCACAGCCCAGGCAGTTGTGTGGGTGAACAGGTTGTGCTCAAATACATCTCACTTTGGTGTTGGGACACCGTTACAGCCAGGTGCCGTCCGAGGACGATGTGCTAAGCTGTGGCAGTCTGGCATTGGGCTAGGGGCTACTTTCTTTGGAGAGAAACTATTTCATGGGTATTGATTTCCTAAATTGGATTGCATGAGAAGATACCACCACCTGGAAGGTGTGACATTGGGATTGTTACCTGTGCTTTTGAATATCACCTGTGACGATAGCAGCAGAGAGAGGAGCAGAGAATAAATATTTTTTTCTCTATTTTGTCAGGTTACTTGGTGCATTTGCCAGCACCCAGTGTAGAATCAGGTCCCTATTTCCTCTCTGCAATCAGCTCCTCATTGTGTTAGTTTCCCTGCAGCATTTAGGACGGCAAAGCTTTTTAGCAAATTGAAAGAGTGGGGGGTTTTTTTAAGCCCGCAGCAATTGGCAGCTTTTAGCGCCTGAGCTTGTTTGTTTTGTCTTGTTGATTGGATTACAAGCTGATGGTGACTTGGCATTCTTAGAGCAGCCTGGTCTCAGAGTGCTGCAGGGCACAGGTGCATCTTCACCTGTCACTAAAGCACCTGGTGCTCCTGTCAGAAAAAAAAAGGCTTTATCACAGGGGCAAATTAGCACCTGGGTGACATGGACAGTCTTGCTTCATCTCCGGCTGAGAGAAATTCGAAAGGGAAGAAAAAAAGCACAGATCAGTAGTCCTGTGCTTTTATCTTGGCTTCCCCAAATCACTTTGGTTTTGTCAGGCTCTGGGCACCTCAGCTCCTCCTGCTGCCAGGAGAGAGGGAGCTGGGATTTTTCAGTTCCATGGCTGAAGAGCATCCTGGGGGCTGGTGCTGGCTGTAGGCAGGGCAGGATCGATCCAGAGCTTTCTCCTGGAGTCTGTGCATGGCTGTGACTGGCATCATGTAACAAGTAACAACTGCCAGCTTGTCTTCATGGGTTACTAACCATGTCCTCGGGGGTTTCCCTCTGGGAAGTGTGGTGGTGTGCAGCTCCTCAGTGAAGTGCAGGGCCTCTGAATTGCCAAATTAATATTTCTGTTTTCCTGGGCCATTTTTCTCCATCAAGAGGTTGAGTGCTACACTGACAGTGTTGCTGCATCACTGTGTTCAGGTCTCAGCCTCTCCCGAAGCTGCTTCCTCCTCGTGGCATCAAGGCAGTTGTTCTGCATTTTTCCTTGGAAGATCTGACTCTGTGCCAGAAGGAAACCCAGTTGCCCAATGCCAGGCATATCAAGAGTGGCACTGCTTGTGCAGTCATAATTATCCCCATGCTATACTTCACCTGAATTTTTGATCCTTCTTTTCCTCCTAGCTTATTTTTGCTGGAGAAGCACTGCTCAGTGCCACTGTGTGCTTTGGCTGTGCCATCAGAAGCCTGCAGTGCTCCCTTTGCAGTTGGCCAGAGGTTCTTTGTGCAGGGGGAGGTGTGTTTTGGAGCAGGGCTTTGGCTGGAGTGAGGAGATCCTCCCAGCGCCGTTCCAGCGGTGTTCTCCCGACGGGGCTGAGCTGCAGGGCTGGCTCCAGCTCTCCCTGCAAGCCAAGGCTTGCTGAACTGGACCTGCAGCTTTGCTGTGCCTCTGTGATCTGTGTGAAAGGCTTCCCATAGGCATGGTGGGAATTTGATGGGAGTGTGTGATCTAGTGGGATCTGTTGCCTTCCAGCAGCTGCTTGTGCCCTTGGAAGATGGTGCCCTGCTCTCTCCCAGGGACACGAGCAAGGTTTGTAGCATCTCCTCAGTGAAAGGGTGAGAAAGGTATTCACAAAGTCTTAATGTGACATACTTCATGCTGGGAATGCAGGAGAAATGAGTATTTAGGGTAGCTTTAAAAGGCTGTAGTTTAAAAGAGTATTCCCCATCAAGAAGGTAACATTCCAGTTGTTAAGGAGAAATTTTAGGAGAGGAACTTGGGGTGGTGAATGCTCCTGCTGTGCTGGTCCCTTATCCTGTGATCTGCTATGGTGCTTCACTGTGTTTCCTGCTGCTGTCTGCTGAGCAACCTCCCCTCATCTCAGCACAGTCCTCACCTCACTGCTTGGGAGTGATCAGACTGATTTTCCTTTCCTGTGGCACATAATTCTGAGTTCAGAGTTTTGCAGTTTCATTTTGCAAAGATCTGGAAGTGAAAAACCACCTAAGAACTCCCCAGCTTTCTTCTCTTCCTTAATCCACAAGATATTGCTGTGCCATTTGCTTTCTTTGTGAGTTCTGTGTCATAAAAGAGTGATAGGAAGGAGTGGTGCATGAAAATCACTCCTTTTTGCTCTTTTCTCCCAAAAATCAGGTTGTCCTTTGTGTCTTTACATTCAATTTCTAAATAGAGTGTGTCATGCTTAATCCACAGTCCCGTGCTGCTGGCCAGGTTGTCTCCCTAGATGAGCAGTCCCAATCTTCTGTATTTATCTGGAATATTTTAAAACGTTTTAGCTGTAGTGAAAAATGTCTGTGCCAAAGCAAGTAAGGTGATTGTAACAACAAATCCGACTGGGTGTGTGTGCCCTGTGTCTGATCAGATCTGGGAATGCAGGCCTTGAAAACAGGGAGGCATTTGTGACACTGCTGCTGGGAGAGCTGCTGCACACAAGGATTTTGTGTGCCCTGAGCTTGGTGTCCGTGCTGCAGCCCTGGGCAGTTCCACCCAGGCTTCTGCCCTGTGACATCCCCACACTTCCTGTGACATTCTCAGCTCTTTTCATACCCAGTGTTATAAGCATCCTTCCTTTGTGCAGCAGGTGCCTGAAACCAAACCCCCTTTTGCCTTTCCTTGCCCTTCTTCCCTTCTCTTTTTGCACCAAAGGACTTCTGAAGACAGGTGGGAGTGTTGCTGTTGTGTGGTAGTTGTTGCTGTGGAGTAGAGGCTGAGAAGGTGAGAGTGACTCAGGGAGGAGGGAGCAGCAGCTGGAGAGTGTTTCAGGAGTGAGCTCCCAGTGCCCAAACACCCCTGTGTGGCTGTGTTCAGTTCACCATCCGTGCTTGTGTCTCCTTGCAGGGATGGATAATCAGACAGTGCTGGCTGTGCAGTCCTTACTGGATGGGCAAGGAGGTGTCACGGACCCGTCTGCTCCCAATGTCAACTCCTCCGCCGCCATCCAGCCCATGGGTGAGTCCTGCTGGCACTGGGACAGAGGACAGGGCAGGAGGGCTGCACATCTCCCCTGCAGCGTGCACAGCTGGCAGAACAGCTGGGTGTATAGGGTACTGCTGTGAGTGTTGTGAGCCCTCAGCAAGGCCAGACAGAGCAGGAGGAAGGGACAAGTGCCCAAGCGAGCAGTGATGTTTTTGGACAGTCATGACAACAGACTTGACCATGAGCTTGCAATAAAGACACAAAGAGAGGGAGAAGCCACTATCCCCACATTTAGTTCCTGTTACTGTTCATGTTTTTTATTTAATATCCACGCCTCCTCCTCTAGAGATGCTCAAGTACTCCTGGAACATCCTGTGTGAATGAATATGGGAACTGGTCATTTATGTGCATGTGGACCTTCACAGTGCTGGACTAGAATTTTCTGGGTGGATGGGGAGTTATCCCCCAAGGATATCCCCCAGGAGTTACAGTGTTCCCAGAAATGATCACGTTCAGGCTGTGACTCAGACAGGGGAACAGCCTTGTGAGTCTGCCTGGATGGAGTGCACATGGTGTGTGGTTTGCCAACACTGCAGATTTCAGCTGGGGCATGTAATTGGGTTGTCTTCTTTCTGCTTCTAACGTCAGGCATAGGTGCCAAAAAACAGCAGTGCTGTGGAGGGGTGTTAGGACACAAGCTGACAGCGACTCTGTGCCCTTATCCAAGGTACTTCTTGTGCTTTGTGCAACCTGAGTAATAAAATCTGCCTCAGCCAGCATAATGCTGATGCTTTGGAAGGAACTACTTTGGCTAAAAGCAGAGGGTGCTACAGGTGCAAAGTTGGTTGTTCCTGTATTTGGGATAAAAAGACAGACAGGAGTAGTGTGACGCAGGGAGACAGTGGGGTTTGTGTATGGGAGCAGGGCTAAGATGGGCTCAGTCACATCACTTGGTTTTAGGGAGAGGAGGATGGACATCTTGGCCCTTGCAGCTGCTCTCTCCTGACAAGGATGTCCTCGAGGTGCAGAGATCCAAAGGTGCCTGTTCCCCTGCATTGTGGGTGCTGGGTGGAGCACTGGGGAATGCAGGAGAAAGCCTGAAGCTCTGCTCTTCCTCGTTGCAGATGACGAAGATGTGTTCCTGTGTGGGAAGTGTAAGAAGCAGTTCAACTCCCTGCCAGCCTTCATGACCCACAAGAGAGAGCAGTGCCAGGGCAGTGCCCCGTCCCTCTCCTCGGTGTCTCTGGCCACCAACAGCGTGTACACCCCGTCCATCACCTCGGTGCAGCAGGCTCCCAGTGCTGCCCGCCAGGTACCGTGCTGCAGGCACAGGCTCTGCTGCTGGGATTTGGGGCTGGGGGGCATTGGGGTGATGGTTTTAGATCCGGTGGTGTCTCACGACTGAGCTCTTTTCTCGGAGTCTCAGCTGTTGTCCCTTTGTTGGCTTTTCACCTCGTGGTTAAAGTGGGGCCCTCTGCAGTGAGGTGTCCTCCAGCAGGAGTGTCTGACAGCCTTTTTTCAGGACAGGACAGAAGGGGTTTCATGTTCTGTCTGTGCTGCAGCCAGACCTTGCCTCTACTGAACAGCCCCAGTGTCAGAGCCTGGCCACAAGCCTGGGTGCACTCTCACAGTGCTCTTGCTGTCCCCTGGGCTGTGGTCTGGCTCGTGGGCAGAAGCGGAGCAGCTTCGTCCCTGCATCCCTTCTGTCTCACTCTTGCAAATAAGCCCATGTAATGTGGTGTGATGACTGTTGGGGGAATATCCCTCTGGAGTAATTCTTGTTCCCTAGAGAATCCTCCAGTGGGAGTCCCTGGTGCATGACACGTAATGTGCCTGCAGTTGTGGCTTCCAAAGTACTTTCAAACGAGCTGATTTTTGTGAGTTAATGTAGTCCCAGTGGATGGTGCTCCTTCACAGGGCTGTAAACACAGCTTATTTACTGCCAAGAAATTCAACAGCCCCCCTTCCCTGCTATAACCCAAGTCCATTTCTGAAGAGATGAGCCTCACATTCACTGTCTGAGCCAGAGCAGCCTTCCTGAGTTTTCCACCTTCCCTTGCTGGGGCAAGCACCCAGGAGAGGCCTCAACTTGTCCGTGACCAGTTTGTCCTGCAGATCTTGTTTAATAACCCTGATTTGACTTGCAGCCAGTGGCCACTTTCTGAGCCACTGTGATATTTTTTTCCTCCTTTCTGAAGAACGATTGTGGAGCTAAGAACTGCCACATACTCAGCAGGAAGCTGCAGATAATTACTGTGGCTCACTGCTGACCAGAGGCAGTGAAAGCAGAGATCCTGAGGCTCAGGAAAAAGCAGTGTCATTGTTTTTTAGCTATTGTTTTGTCCTGTTGCTGATGAACAGTGTACCTTTCTTTTCTTTCAGCAAATCTCTACGTACATCACAGTTCCCCCATCACCTTTGATTCAGACTCTGGTGCAGGGGAACATCTTGGTCAGTGACGAGGTGCTGATGTCAGCCATGTCTGCTTTCACCTCCTTGGACCAGCCCATGCCAGCGGTGCAGCCCCCGGTGCAGGTAAGGGGCACGTGGATCCAGGGAGTCACGGGTAAAGCTCACCCAGTTCCAACCCCCTGGCCACAGGAGTGACACCTTCCACTAGACCAGGTTGCTCCAAGCCCTGTCCAGCCTGGTCTTGACCATTTCCAGGGATACTGTCCACACTGCTGAGGATGCCTCCCAGGACATGGTTGGCTTTCAGGGCCGCAAGTGCCCACAGCTGGGTCATGTTGGGCTTCTCATGCACCAACAGTCCCAAGTCCTTCCCCTCGGGGCTGCCCTCAATCCATTCACTGCCCATCTGTGCTTGGTGTCACCCTGATCCAGGTGCAGCACTTCGCATTTGGTCTTGGTGAACTCCCTGAGGTTCACACAGACACACTTCTCAAGCCTGTCTAGATCCCTCTGCATCCCCATTCCTTCCCTCCAGTGTTTTGACTGCACCACACAGCTTGGTGTTGCTCACAAACTTGCTTGTTGCTGGATGCGCAGATCTCTGTAATGTGGTCTCTCCAGCTTTTTTTGAGTCCCCATGTCATGATTGGCTTCCACGGCCCTTGTCAGCTTACTCTATGGATTCCTCTGCTCCTGGGAGTGTTGTTTGGGCTCTCCCCAGACTGGCTGGTCTGTACATGCTCTCCGTGCTCTGAAAATATTCCTTGTAACAAGAAGGATTAAAAGCTTTAAAAACAAATCAATAAAAGCAGTGGGGCTTGAGGGTTTGGGTTTTGGAGGAGGCAATGTGTACCTGCAGGTCACTCCAGGCCTCCAGCACAGTGTGGTGCAGCCTGCCAGCTGGATGTGCTGTGCCGTGCCAAGACATCCCTGCTGTTCCTGCAGGCAGATTGGGATGGGGAGTGTGTGTGAGGGAGCAGCCCCTCAGCTCCTGGCTGCCGCGTTTCCAGCGTGTGGTGTCTCTCTGGTTGCAGAGCAGCATGAGTATGCACGCTGGGGCTGGCTACCTGTCCCAGCCCCCTCCGCCGCCGCCGCCCCCACCGCCGCCCCCGCCGCAGCCTCCGCCTCCCCCGCCGAGCCTGGGGGCTCCCGGGCAGCCCAGCAGCGGCGTGGTGGAGGTGTACAGTGCCCCTGCTCCCATGGCAGCATCCAGCACCGTGGAGATCCAGACCCTGGGCATGCAGCCCTACCCGCCCATGGAGGTAAGGCCAGGGCTGCCCCTAATGATCTGTCCTCAGAGAATCACAGAATGGGTTGGGTTGGAAGGGACCTTAAAGCTCATCCCCTGCCTTTGGGATGGACACCTCCCACTGGACCAGATTGCTCCAAGCCCCATCCAATCTGGCCTTGAGGAATGTGGAACTACAGTGTGGGAAGATGGGCTAGGTTATTTGACAACAATTATTTTCTCTGGGAGAAGGCAGCAAACAGGAGATCAGTAAGATGATAAGGATTCTGAGAACAGGAGAAACAGCTAAGAGAGACAGAGGACTGGCACAGGCTTTGGAGACCTGAACATTTGTTTCTGGCCGAGGGATACCTGCATATGCTGGGAGTGAGAGGGAGTAGAGGTGAGGGCTTCACCTTCTGTAGAAGCACAGAGCATCACACTGCACACTTCAGCTTATGTGGAGAGAAAAATCCAGTCTAAATCTCAATGAGCTGGTCAAGGTGGCTTTTGCTAAAGAATGGCAGAGGCAAGGTGTGGATTTACTGGTGGATCAGCTGTTTGCAGTCTCTGCATTTGCACTGCCCTTCACAACAGGAGCTGCTGGGTGTGGCTGGGGTTTGGCATCCTTACCTGTGTAACTGGAATCTGATCTGGAAGTGCCAGTGGACAGGAATGCATGGGGATATTGGATAAATAGTGGTCTGTGTTAATTTGTCAGGGTGGGCAGCAGAAATGCCTTTAAACTATCACCCCAGACTGATCACTCTGTCTCTTAAGTGTTCTTTCCTAATCTTGATGCTGACATAAACAGCTGTGCTTTGGCACCTGGAGTTTCCTTGTGCCTTCCTTCCCTTCTGCAGTCCTGCCAGGACAGGCAGCAGGACCTGGAGATCCCTGCTTCAGGACTGGTGTGAACCCACAGGGTCAGCAGTGATCCTTCTGGTAACCTGCTCCAGAGGGATAAGAAACTCTTCCAGGCATGAGACATAGATGGGGCACAAGATAGCTCCCTCAGAATGTTTCTTTGCTGCCCTGTTCCTGCTGTAATAACTTCTGGATGCTTTTTGATGTTCAGCAGAAGAGTTTCACACGTGAAGGGTGTCAGTTTTGATTAGAGAGACATTGTTGGCCTGGTGAACCAGAAATTTGATCCAGTTTGGCAAAAAAAAAGTCGGCCCAGCTGCAGCCTGGTGTGGGTGGAGATGGGACTTAGGGCTTGGTGTAATTCTCTGTAGCAAATGTGTTCCACTGATGAACTGCCCTCTCACAGGTACCAAGCCAGTGTGTGGAAAGCCCTGTGTACCCCTCTCCCCCTGTGTACAGCCCTGGGAAGCAGGGGTTCAAGGCCAAGAGCACCAGTGCTCCCACCCCCCTGAGCAGTGCAGGAGGAGGCTCTGTGGTTGGCTTTGATTCCCCTGCTGCTGCCAAAACTCGCCGCTGCAAGAACGAGAGTGGGCTGCAGGAAGGTGAGTCCCTTCCAGCACCTGCCCTGAGGGTCACTGGGCTTGTCCCAGCTGGGCTGCTGAGCCATGGGCTCCCTGATGGGTGGCATTGGCTGTGCAGCTCTGGAGAGGAACACGATGGCCTTGCATGAAACTGGTGGATGACCAGGGGGGTTCACAGCAGAGACAGAGCTGAGGCCCTTCCTCTCACTCGTGCTGTGTCTTTTCCCAATGCCCAAAGCACCTTTAAGGTTAGTGCTTTGTAGCTGGAAAGGTCCCTGGAAGGCAGTGGTTGTTGCCTGAGGGAATGCCTTGCCCCAGCAGACTACACTGCTCAGGATTTGTAGAGTTGTCTCAGGCTGTGTTTATGAATGTTTGTGCCCATAGCCACTCCCCAGTCTGGCCAAGCAGATCTTACCTTCCTATAAGCTCTTTATTCTGGGTCCTGAACAGTCATGTCTTGGGCTGAGGGCCCTGTGACACTGTAGGGACAGAGCTGTGCCACGTGATCTCATTCTTGTGTGTGCTCTTCCTTTCAGGCAAACCCAAGTTCCCCAAGCTGAAATGCACATACTGTGACAAGGCCTTTACCAAGAACTTTGACCTGCAGCAGCACATCAGGAGGTAACAGTGCCCTGCCCTGTTAGCACACAGCAGAGTGACTGGGCTGGAGTGGGGCACAGCTCTGCTGGGGGAGTCCAGTTTGTTATGTCCCAGAATCTGTGCTGCAATGGGAGAGATTCTTCATTCTTCTCACCCCAGGATACCTTTTCCCCAGTCACTGGAGTGAAGGCTGTATCATGGATGTAATCTTCATGCTGGTTATGTGCTGGGACTGGAGGCTCATTTTCCTTGCTGATGAGACCTTGACAGCCAAACCTCTTGTCACCTGATCACTGGAGTAGGAGCATTCCCACTGCTTGCCTCTGCCCTTCCCTTTCCTATCCCTCCCTAGCAACCTGCAGCCTTCCTGTTTGCTGCTGTTAGCAAAGTGTAAGCTAAGCTCAGTGTCTATACAGGGAGCTCTAATCAGAGAGCTTTTCCCTGGCAGGAGGAAGCTGAAATCTGCAGAGTTTTTCTCCCCAATGGAGTCAGCTGGACTCAGAACAGATGGTGGTGGGTTTTGCACCTCTTCCCAGCTTGGACTCTTCACTTTCTCCTGAAGGAGAAGGGCAGAATAGAAAAACCTTTTTGCTATGGACAGAGAGCATATTCAGGCAGATCAGGGGGCTGCAAGCTAGAAGAGATGTGTGCAGGAGAGAGAAGGGTGACAGGGAAGGAAAAGCTTGTATCCTTGAGAAAGTGATGAGGTCCCCAAGGTCTGTGCAGTGACCCTGATAGTTAATGCCCTGATGTTGCTGCAGAGCTGTTTTCCTCTCCTGCTTCTTCCCTTGATCCCCTGTCATTCCCAGACCACAGGTGTTTTGTCTGTGCACCAGCCTTGTTTCCCCAGGCCTCTCACAATCCACCTCTGGTGAATCTGGTCTCAAAGCCCTTGTTTGGTGGATCCAGGTGCCAGCACTGTCCTTGTCCCCCCACAGGCCCTGCCTGGGGGCTGCCTCCACCAGCTGCTGACCTGGTGCTTTCTCCTTCAGTCACACAGGTGAGAAGCCCTTCCAGTGCATCGTGTGTGGCCGAGCCTTTGCCCAGAAGTCCAACGTGAAGAAGCACATGCAGACCCATAAAGTGTGGCCTCCAGGGCTGGGCTGCACCATCTCCCGCAACTCCATCACTGTGCAGGTCATGGCCCTGAACCCCAGCCAGCCTGAGGATGAGGAGAACCCAGGTGTGGTGCCTGGGGATGCTGTGTGTGGGGCAGAGCAGTGGTGTGAGGAGGCTGCAGGTCTCTGCACCTCCACACAGGGAGGGAGGGGAGCTGTGTTTGCATTCCTTGGTAGTGTTTAGCATCTCACACTAAGAGTGGCATTTGCTCAGGTCCATGATTTCATACCCCCATGGTGGGTTCAGGTGCTGCTGGAGACAGTGGCTCCAAACTCTGTCCCAGTATGTGCATTAACAGGGCCAGGTGTCTTTCCCTTCTCACTCCCTGGCAGTACAGCTTTGGCAGTGCACAAGCCACACCTGGCAGCTCTGGCCTAGGGGACAGACAGCTGCTGGTTTAGGATAGCCCAGTGCTCTGGCTTTGCACTGTCAGGTCATACCCAGGCTGGATCTGCCTGCAGTGGCCACCTGTAAAGACTTGAGGCAGAGAAGAGCTCCTTGCTGGTGTCTGGATGCCCTTTCTGCTGGTAGCCTCAGACCTGGTAGCGGAGGGAATGCAGTGGCAATGTTATGTCTAGGACAAGGGACAACTGGAGCTCTCTTTGTGTGCATCATGGACGGTGAACCACTGGCTGGATCTCACCTCCTGTCTCCTGCCAGTGGTGGGAGTAAATCTGGCTCTGGTTCACTGGTGGAGTCCTTTTCTGACTGCTCCACAGAGCACAGTTATATCCCTGGAAAAAAAGAATGGGCTAGGGAGAGGAAGATGGAGTAGTCAGAGCCGTTAATAATCTGTCAACAAATTTTAAACAACTCTGTTAGTGAGATTGATCTGATCTAAAGAGTCTGTCTTTGAAAGGGAGAAAGGGCCTGTCCTGGTGTGTCCTGGCAGCACGCTGCTTGCAGAGCAGCTTTCAGAGCTGTCTCATGGCAGGCTGGCACTTTCCCTCTCTCCAGGTTTGCCGCAGCCCTCACGGAACGCGGTGCCCCCGCCCCAGGAGCTGAGCCCCTTGGAGGAGAGCGAGGCAGCCAAGCTGGAGGCCAAGCAGGTTGTCCTGATTGACAGCTCTTACCAGTGCCAGTTCTGCCCCAGCAAGTTCAACACCTACTTCCAGCTCAAATCACACATGACACAGCACAAGAACGAGCAGGTAGGGACAGAGGGTGCCTGGGTGGGTGGCAGTATTGGGATTGGCTCCATATAATGCACCAGTTATCAGGGCCTGACCTGAGCCTTTTGGTCTGTAGAGCTGCCAGTTCTTCTACAGTCTGCAGCTCAGCTCTCAGGGGTGTAGCTGTGTGGCTGGGTGGCTTTGAAAACTCCTTTGAAAACTGAGTGAGAAATTCAGCCAAGCAGGTTTGGGTGGCTAGGGAGGAAGCAAAGAAGTGAAGTGTGTCCAGTTCTGGGTCCTTCACTTCCAGAAAGAGATGGAGGTGCTGGAGCCTGTCCACAGAAGGGCATTGGAGCTGGGGAAGGGTTCTAGAGAGTAAGGCAGAGGAGGAGTGGCTGAGGGAACTGGGGAGGCTCAGCCTGGAGAAAAGGGGCTCAGAGGGGACCTTCTTATTCTCCACAACTCCCTGACAGGAGGGTGCAGCCAAGGGGGAGTCAGGCTCTGTTCCCCCAAGGGACAGGACAAGAGGAAATGGCCTCAAGCTGTGCTAGGGGAGGTTCAGGTTGGACATCAGGAGGAATTTCTTTACTGAGAGGGTTGTCAGGCATTGGATTGGGCTGTCCAGGGAACTGGTGCAGTCATCCTCCCTGGAAGTGTTCAGTAACTGACTGCACTTGGCACTTGGTGCTGTGGTTTAGTTAAGAAGGTGGTGTTCTGTCAAAGATCGGACTCGCTGATCTTGGAGGTCTTTTCCAACCTTTATGATTCTGTGAAGTCCAAAATTTTCAGTGTAAGTGGCAGCTCTTGGGTCCTGGGATAATCACTTCTGGGTGTTGTGGTCCCACCCACTCGAGTGCTTTCAGGCCGTCACATCAACCCCTTTGTCCCATCTTGCTTTCTCAGGGTGTGCCCTGACAGTCTGTGCTTCTTTCCAGAAAGGAAGGCAGTTCTGCCTATAGGCAGAGGGCTTTCCCTGCTTGTTGGTGAGCCTCTCCAGTTGCTCTCCTTTCCCCAGGTGTACAAATGTGTGGTGAAGACCTGTGCCCAGACCTTCCAGAAGCTGGAGTCCTTCCTTGAGCACATCAAGAGCCACCAGGAGGAGCTGAGTTACCGCTGCCACCTCTGCAGCAAGGACTTCCCCTCGCTGTACGAGCTGGGCGTGCACCAGTACTCGCACAGCCTGCTGCCCCAGCACAGCCCCAAGAAGGACATGGCCGTGTACAAGTACAGTACAATCGCTGCTCACAAGGCTTGTAGGAGTGAGTGGGTGCAGAGCATGCTTGGTGGGACCTTAGAGGGGACAGCGGGCCGTGTGTCCAGTGGCTGTGGTGCTTTTGGACACTCAGGTGGCACATGGCGGGGGTCCCTCCATCAGACTGGAAAGGCCAAGCACTTTGAATGCAGGGAGTCTCTTTGAAGGGCAGTGAAAAGCTGGGATTGCTTATGTGGGAAGATCCCGTGACTGCAATTCCTCTTATCACCAGTCAAGAGTGAGATGGTGTCCTGGGGTCACTTCATGATGCCGAGTTGCATCTCCATTCATCTGTTTAGCCCAGAACTAAGTTTTGCACCTTTAAGACTGGTTCTGACAGTGAAGGCAGGGCAACAAAAGTAGTGCACAGTTTGTTTTCAGAAGCTGCACTCACTCCTCCCAGTCCTTCTCCTGGACAGTGTTGTCTGTGGAACGGACAGTGAGAGAGAGCTCTCCTTTGCTTTTAGTTAGTTTTTGCTAGCTGAGGCAGTGAAGTTCCCAGGGAACCAGGATTCTAAACCAGGACAAATACAGACGGCTGAACCTGCCCTGGGCTGGGTCAGAGAGCCAGGGAAGCCCTTCCCAGCCTGTTTTCTATGATTCTGCAGCAAAGCAATTGTGGGTTGTAGAAGCCGTGCCCAGCAAAACGTTTCCTATCCCTTTGCTGCAAAAGGGTCTTTTCCCTGGAAAGATTTTCTACTAGTGTGGAGGGAAAGTGTGAGAAGTTCCACAAAGAGCTCCACGTAGCTTTTGGAATGCCCATAGAAATGTTCAGGGAGGGTAGGAAGCCCAGGAGATACTGGGCTCACTTAGGAACTTCATGGAATAAATATTTGCTAATTCTTGTCTAGACCATGTTTTCTAGTTATCCTTACACTACAGAGCTTTGTTCTACAGCTCAGTAGTGGGGATCCCTGAGATCAGAACCTTGCTTGAGCTTGAGGAGGTTTTAGTCTGACCTAGGCAGAAGGGGTTTCACAGGAGGAGCAGGGTGTGAGTGCTTCTGTCCTCACTGCTGATGTTGCCTGTCCCCAGTGCCTGCTGTCAGTCAGCTTTGGCAGAGCCCTCTGGCAGAAACACTGCCAGGATGTGTCCCCACTCCCAGCTCCTTCTCTGGGAGCTGATGTCTTCAAGCAATGAAGATGGAAGGAGGTGTTTGAAGTAAAGTGAAGTCCTTACCTAAGCCTTGTCTCCATAAGACTCCCAGCTCCTTCTCTGGGAGCTGATGTCTTCAAGCAATGAAGATGGAAGGAGGTGTTTGAAGTGAAGTCCTTACCTAAGGCTTGTCTCCATAATGAAGGAGTGTGGAATGTGTGCTCAAGTCTGGGTGCTCCCATGGCAGCCTGTGGCAAGTGCACTAGTATTTAAAGGCTTCTCCACCCAGTTTTCCAGCATCTCCCTCTCTAAAGGCTGCTAAGTGTGAATGTGAACTGGCATGTGGGTTGCTGAGGTTTTAGAGCACCTGAGTGGTTATTTTCTGTATCAGCCCTGTCAAAGATCACCCTGGAAGGCGGCTGGGCTGGGCAGGTCTGCTGGTGGTGTGGGGTTTGCTGCAGTAGCCTTGCTCACAGGCTCTGTCCTTTCTCTCTGCATGCAGGTGTGTGAAGTGTGTCAATAAATATTCCACCCCAGAAGCCCTGGAGCACCATCTTCAGACAGCAACGCACAACTTCCCCTGCCCTCACTGCCAGAAGGTGAGTGCTGACCACGGTGAGCCAGGCCTGGATACCTGGCAGGGGCTCTGAGGGGGGACAGGAACCCTCAGCTCCAAGAGCAGGAGCCTTGCATAACAGATTTTGAGGAAGCAGAAAGTGAAGCTAACTCTGTGGGGAAGGTAGGAGTTGCTGGGGATCTTTGCCCAGCTCATCCTACTGCTGGCTTTGCTGGGAGACTGGGCATCCTTCTGAGATGCTGGTCCTCAGCACAGTGGTGTTACATAATTGACAGCAAGGTTTCAGCTTCTGTGTTTCTTAAGAAAGTTTTGGCGCTTTTTCTGTTTTAAATTTTTTTTTGGCTTGTTTTTAAAGCCCTATCTATACTTTCATTATACAATCCTGAAGGTTTTCACAGTGCATCCTTCCTGGGCTGTCAGTGACTGAGCTTCTTGCTCAGGCTGCCCAGAGAAGCTGTGGCTGCCCCATCCCTGGAAGTGTCAAAGGCCAGGTTAGACAGGGCTCGGAGCAGCCTGGGATAGTGGAAGGTGTCCCTGCTTACAGCAGCAGGACTGGTTGATCTTTAAGGTCCCTTCCAACCCAAACCATTCCGTGATTCTTATGTGTTTTATCCTGGCTACACACTCTGTGATGTCCCATGTGTGGTGCCAGCTCTGAGCTGTGTGTTTGTGTGTTGCAGTCTACCCTTTGACCTTGTTGTGTGTTGCAGGTGTATGTTTGTGTGTTGCAGTGTTCCCTCTGAGCTGTGTGTTTGTGTGTTGCAGGTATGTGTTTGTGTGTTGCAGTGTTCCCTCTGAGCTGTGTCTTTGTGTGTTGCAGTGTTCCCTCTGAGCTGTGTGTTTGTGTGTTGCAGTGTTCCCTCTGAGCTGCGTGTTTGTGTGTTGCAGTGTTCCCTCTGACCTGTTGTGTGTTGCAGGTGTTCCCCTGCGAGCGGTACCTGCGCCGCCACATCCCCACGCACGGCGGGGGCAGCAAGTTCAAGTGCCAGATCTGCAAGAAGTTCTTCCGGCGGGAGCACTACCTCAAGCTGCACGCCCACATCCACTCGGGTACGGCTCCCCTGCTGCCAGTGCTCACCACCTCTGTGCCACAGCCCCAGCTGCCCTGTGCCCTGCAAGCAGGAATGACAGAGTTATCTGTAGTAACGTGGTTTCAGATCAGTGGGTTTGGTTCAGCCTGGTGCCCAGCACTGCACTTGTTAGAAATGGGGGACACAGGTGGCTTCCTCACTTGCTTTGGTGGCAGAGCTAAGGAATTTGGCCCTGGAGAGCAGGAGCAGTGTGCAGCATGGGTTGTGCCCATCCATTTATTATTTTATTGAGAAGCGGCTTAGGGAGTTGGGGTTGTTTGGCCTGGAGAAAAGGAGATTCAGGGGAGACCTTGTCGCTGCCTACAACTCCCTGACAGGAGGCTGTAGCCTGGTAGGGGTTGGTTTCTTATCCCAGACAACCAGCAACAGGACAGGAGGACACAGTGTGAAGCTGTGCCAGCATGACCAGGAAGTTTAGGCTGAAAGTTTAGGCTGGACATCAGGAAGATTTTCACAGAAAGGGTGATTGGGCACTGGAATGGGCTGCTCAGGGAAGTGGTGGAGTCACCATCCCTGGAGGTGTGTGAGAAAAGCCTGGATGTGGCACTCAGTGCCACGGTCTAGTTGACAAGGTGGTGTTAGGTTATAGGTTGGACTCTATGATTCCAAAGGTCTTTTCCAACAAAATTCTGTGTGATTCTGTGTGATCTATCCATAGGGCAGGGCAGCTGATAGTGTGGCACAGCTGGCCTGGTGGCCTGTGCATGGCCAGAGCAGCCTGTGTGGCTGCAGTGTCCCTGAGCCCTGGTGTGTTCCTCCCCAGGTGAGAAGCCCTTCAAGTGCTCGGTGTGTGACGCAGCGTTCAATCGCAAGGACAAGCTCAAGCGCCACATGCTCATCCACGAGCCCTTCAAGAAGTACAAATGTCCCTTCTCGTATGTAGTGTGTCTGCACATGCCAACATGTCTGAATGGGGTTGGGATGGGGGGAATGTGCCCTGCAGGTGTCCTAGGGGACACTGTGGCACCCACCAGGCTGCCTGGGGAGGTTGGAATGCTGTGTGCTGTGAACTGTTGAATGAACTGTGCTGTTGAAGTCCCAGTTCTTTGTTACTGTCTTCCTGTAGGGCCACGTTGCATTGCTTCATCAGCCCTGTAAAATAACTCCTGCCTTCATGGGAGGACTGGGGGAGCACTAGAGAGAGAAGGAGCATTATTTGACCACAGAGGTTCCCTGGATGATGGGCTCTTACTCACTGCCATGTCTCCCAAAAATACATACCAATATAGGACCTAATGTACAAGCCAGAGGAACTGAATTTTGGAAGGTGCAGTCCCAAATCCATGGTACAGCCATGGACTTTCTGAAATAGCCCAGGCTGACGGCTTCTCCCTGCTCCAACCAACCTCATACCTCCTTCCAAAATGCTTCTGTCTCCAGCTGGGGCCTTGAACCTGCTGCATTTTAGAGCATTCATAGTGAGACACAGACCATGTGTAATTTAGGAAAAGCCACACATCCCTGTGGCAGCCTGTTTAGTCCTTGCCCCTCCCAGAAAGGCTGAAATAGTGGAACTCCTGCTGAGGCTGCACCAAGAGAAACATCTAGATGCTGCTTAAGGAGAAGTGTCATGGATGTGTTTATGATCTGGGATCTGTCTATGCATTGCTCCTCAGCTGGTTCCCACATCTTACCAGCATCTGTTCTTGTTGCAGAAGCCACACAGGTTGTAATAAAGAGTTCAACAGGCCTGACAAGCTGAAGGCTCACATTCTGTCCCATTCAGGTGAGTGGTTGGGAATGCAGTCACTGGGATTCCGGGTGGTGCTGCAGGAGCATGTGACAGAAGGACTAAGCCGGAGAAATAAGAATAATTTACTAGCTTCAGATTTTTTCTCTCTGTTTTGCTGCAAGCCTGTTTAAGTGAGTATCTATTCAGGATTATGTCTAAGTTTTGGGCTGGTTTCGGAGGCAAAATCTGTAGGCAAGGCCTGCTGATGAGACTCAGGAGCTGAGCTGGATTATTTGGTTTGTTTGCTATCAAGTGAATATCCAGAGTGCTCTGTCCACTCCTCCCCCGTCCCATCACACATGCAAAAGAAGATCTCATGGGATTTTATTCCCTTCTTGTGTTTAAAAATGATGCTTCCAATTCTAATAAAGACAAATAATTTATTCCCATTATTTCTTCCCATGCCCTAGGGGGAGCAATCAGACTTTTATCTCTTGGGGTAAAACTGGGCATCTTTCCTTGTGCCCAAAGGCCTGCAGAGTGGGATCAGATGGGATGGGCTGATAGTGCAGGCATAGGTTCTTTCAGACTGTACATTCCCATATTTTGGAGGGGGAAAAAAAGTGAAAATTTCTTTATTTACTAAGTACACCTGAAAACAACAATACTTCAAGATTGTTTTGCATTTTCATCACAATTAACTTAACATGCTTTTCTGGTGATATTTTAGTGCTCTTACTTGAGGCAAGAATATTTATTTACAGTCTGCAGCTTCTTCCTGAGGGAGAGTGAAGGGGCAGGCACTGATCTCTGCTCTCTGTGACAGTGACAGGAGCCAGGGAATGGCTGGAGCTGTGTTGGGGAGGATCAGGTTGAAGCTCAGGGAAAGGTTCCCCAGAGGTGCTGGCACTGCCCAGGCTCCCCAGGGAATGGGCACAGCCCCGAGGCTGCCAGAGCTCCAGGAGCGCTGGGACAGCGCTGCCAGGGGTGCCCAGGGTGGGGTTGTTGGGGGGTCTGGGCAGGGCTGGGGCTGGGGCTGGGCTGGTGATCCTGGGGGTCCCTTCCACCTCAGGACATTTTCTGACTTTACAGAGTCATAAAATGGTTATGGTTAAACAAAGACATTGAAGCTGTAGCCACCCAGCTTTACTGTGTGTGGCACAATGTCTCCTCCCTTTGATCAGGGAGCACCTCTTTGGAGGAGGAGGCAAAGCTGTCCTGCTGTCCCTGGGGGGATGGCTGGGTCTAACTCCACTCCCTCTGTGTGCAGGGATGAAGATCCACAAGTGCCAGTACTGCAACAAGTCCTTCAGCCGCCGCGCCCACATGGTGGAGCACCAGCGCTCACACACCGGCAACTACAAATACCGCTGCCCCACGTGCAGCAAGGGCTTCACACGCCACAAGTACATGAGGGACCACAAGTGCCGCCTGGGCTCGCCCAAGGACAAGGAGCTGCAGCTCAGGAAGGCGCAGAAGAAGCGGGTGGCGCGGGGGCGCAAGGCCGGGCTGGCGCTGCCGGGCGCGCTGGGGCTGCCGGAGCTCAAGGACGGCGCTGCCGGGGACAGCTCCCCCGAGGGGGGCCCCAGCAAGGAGCCCTTCCAGGAGTCGGACGCCGTCCTGTCCATCGTGGTCGGCGGGTCGGGAGCCGCGGACCCGGAGCTGGTCCCTGGGCAGCCCAACAGCATGGCCTCCAACCTGGCCCTGGCAGAGCTGCAGACGGCCTCGGACGGGCCCTGCACCATGCTGGCTGTCCCTGTGTACATCCAGACCTCCGAGTGACAATGCCCAGAGCCACTGTGTGGCTGAGAGCTGCTGCTGGCACTGTCTGACTTGGTGCTCAAATTTATCCCTGTGGAAAAGACCAAAGCTCTTCTGGGGAGGAAGATGGGTATGCGAGGGAGTGGCTTCCATCTCCACTGGTTCCTCCCATCCTTGGGCAGAGGACTGCTTGGAGACCACTGATGCCTACAAGGCACTGAAGAGGGTGGCTCCGTTATTTCTTGTCCCTCTGTACCGTGGGTCAGCTTAGGGCAAGAAAGACAAAGATCCCTGAATCAGGGAAGAAGAAGGACCATGCAAACTTGCAACAAACAGAGCTGCTGAAATCAGGTGGCTTTGCAAATCACAGCCTGTCCCATCTGTGGTTTTTCTGGCCTAAAAACTGTATTGCCCAGTATTTGGGTGGCCCTTCTGAGAGCAAACATCCTTCCTAGTGGAAGCAAGTTCATCCTGAGATCCTTTGGGAACACTGTTCAGAAATACCCCAATAGACTTCTGTCTGGTATCTTCTCTCTGTCTATCTCAGTAGAAAGATCACCGTGTCTGTACTACAAGTTATAAACACTCTGGACCTCACCTGTGGAGTCAGTGTGTGGGAACCTCTGTGTGTGTGTGGAGGGGCTCTTCTGTCTGGGTGCTGTTCTCTCCACAGTGTTTATGGTTTTTCCCCAGATCCAGGGATTTCTGAGTGCCTTAGACATCAATGAGTCAATCCCTGGGAAGAGTTAAATGTGACCCCTCTGTTCACTAAGGGCTAGGTGAGGTGACCTGGCCAGGCCACACAGGAAACCTGTGATGCCTCCAGGAGCCAATGTTCCAGTGTCAGCTCTGGGCCAGGTGCTGCAGAGAAGCTCTGGCAGCTGCTTCCCAGCCTCTGCATTCCCTCAGCTCAGTGCTTGTCAGCAGTTTCAGTGGGGAGTTGGTGTGGTTGAGCAGCAGGGAAGTCTGGTGTCACTGGGACATTTGTTGTCCTCCTGGCTTCTCTGATTTCCTAAGCAGGAGTCCCAAAGCCAGCACGGGAGCTGAAAATTCCCAGGAAGTGAAAATTCCCGTTGTGCAGGGGCGGGTCTGGAGCCCTGGCAGGGGTGCTGCTGCCTGCTCCAGTGCCCTGCCAGGCTCCCTCCTGTACTGCCCTCAGCCTCTGCTTTCCCACTGCCACAGGATGCACTGGCTTTAGGGCAAGGATCTGCACCCAGACCTGCACATCCTGCTGCCTGCTGGGATGTGTGTCCCCATGCTCTGCTCTCCCATGCTTTCTCCCTGCTCCAAGGGTAGGGCAGGCCAAGCTGAGCTTTCCCAGGTGAGTTTGTGTGATGAGCTGCTGAGGTGTCTGTGGGTGCAAAGTGCTACATTCCCAGCCTGTTTATCCAGAGTTGCTGCAGGGTTCAGTCAGTCCTGGGTATAGAAATCCTGCCTGTGTCTGGGACTCTGTGGCTGTTCTGGCCACTGCAGCAGTCAGCCCAGCATTACTGGTCTGACTGCTCTGATCCAACCCATTGTCTGACCTCAAGGTGTTCTTGTCTCCTTCCTTAATTCTTAAAATGTTAAAACCAGCAGCTTGCAGAGGGCTGTACACTCTGCTCCCTGACTGCTCTGTGTAATGATGGCTAACTCTGTCACTCCTGGGACACTGTCACACAGTGACAGTCTGCATGGGTCTGCCACTAGTTCACTTTGCTCACTCACTTCCTAACTTATTTTCTCTTCATTTCACTTTTTTGATGATGTTAGTGCACCTCCAGCTGTTGGTAGGTGGAAGGAAATGGAGCTCAGGGCTTCCCGGGGAGGCTGGGAGAAGGGGTTGTTGAGGATTTACATGAGGCTAAGGAGAAGTCTTGCCCCTGCCTCTTAGAAGGGGGTGGAGAAGGTGGAGCCAGGATCCAGGGGTGCACAGGGATGGGAAGAGAGGTGATGGGGATGTGTTGAAATGTGACAATTTCCAGTATTTAAAGGGGCTTATGAGAAGGCTGGAGAGGGACTTTTCACAAGGGGCTGGAGTGACAGGACAAGGGGGAATGGCCTCAAGCTGATGGAAGATTTAAATGTGCTGTTAAGAAGAAATTCTTCCCTGTGAGGGTGCTGAGGCCCTGGCACAGGGTGCCCACAGCAGCTGGGGCTGCCCCTGGATCCCTGGCAGTGCCCAAGGCCAGGCTGGACAGGGCTTGGAGCAGCCTGGGACAGTGGAAGGTGTCCCTGCTATGGCAGGCGGTGGGATGAGATGATTTTTGGGGTCCCTTCCAACCCAAACCACTCTTTGATTCCATGTTCTGACTCAGTATAAGGGAGGAGGCTGCAGAGAGGTCCTGAGACCTCATTGCCAATTTGCCCAGATCATCCTGCCCTGGTGGATGTGCTTTGCATGAGCTGGGGACGTTCAGGTGGTCCTTCCTCCTTAGATGTGCCTGTGCTTGTGTGAGAGCTCCTGTCTCCTTTGAAGGGCAGTTTATTTACCCACAGTGTTTTACTCTGCTCTCCCAGCAGGGGAACAGGATCAGGAAGCAGTTGGCTAAATATACTTTTCCTGTTTCCCTCCCCTCAGTCCCACGCTGTAGGTGTCATTGTGTGCCCTATGCACTCAGGTCTATTTTGGGGTGCTGATGTGTGGCTGCAGCTCCTTCAGCTCGGAAGCCCTGTCTGGAGACATGGCCTGCCCTTCCCAAATGCTGCTTTCCCCCAGCTCAGTGGGATGCTGGAACTCAGCTGGCTACACTGGGGATGGGAGCAGAGCCACCCAGCTGCCTTGAGTGTGACTGTTGAGGGACACAAGGCTGGGGACTTCCCCTGACACGACTGTGGGACACCAGGGCTCGGAGATGGCACCCTGGATGCTTGGTAGTGTTTGCATATGGGGCAGTGTTGAACCAGAACAACTTTTATCCTGAGCAAAATGATTGTCCTCTTGGAGTAAAACTTGGAGTGATTGTCCTCCCTGCCCTGCTCTTGTCCAGCTGCCTCAGCTCCTGCAAACTCTGACATCTACAAGCTCTTCCATTTGCTGCAGGGAAGATTTCTGCCCGAATTCCCTATTTCTGTTTCCCTGGCAGAGCCCTGCCCACTGGCTGGGGTGGATCAGAGGTGCTCAGGGCACTGGTTTTCTCCCTGTGTCCTGGGCACTGCTGTTTTTCTTTACACACCCAGCTCTGGAAGCATCTTGGCATTTTCTGGACGTTCCCAGGAGAACCCCAGAAGCAGAGCCATGCCTGGGGAGAAGTGGATCAGAGCAGAGGTCTGTGGGCTCAGTGACAGCAGACACTTGTGTAGGAGGAAGCGAAGGGCAAGTAAAACCCTTCCTCCCTGTTCTCCTCAGCCTCCTGTGCTGTCAGCTGGAGCTTTCGTGCCCTGGCAGTTCCCATCAGCCTCAGTGATTTTTTCTATTTGCCTTTCCCACCCACCTGCAGTGTCAGGGAGGTGGAACAGGGCAGGAGCCATTTCAGGGCTCTGTTGCTCAACTCCCACCTGGTACGTAGGACGTTCTTTGTGTTTCCCATAGCAGTGCTTTTCCCTCTTTCTCAGGGCACAAAAAAGCTCTCTTACCCAGCAAGCATTTGTTTGGGTCAATTTTCCTCTTTTCCAGGTGGTGTGTGATATCCCAGCCCTGCTCCAAAGCAGTGATTAATTTTCTTGGGTGATTTCCAGTGACAAACATGATTATTGTCTAAGTCTGTTTTTAATTATCTGTTGTCACAACCCTGCTGTGACTGGAGATGGGGGTTTATCGTTACAGGTGGTTGAGGCCAAGCACAAAGAAAAATAAGTCAAAAGTATCAAATTGTCACCAGGCTGAGGTACTCAAGACTCAGTTTCCTCAGGGGATTTTGTCAGTAGGTACTGTGAAATTCTGGATGACATCATAGACTGATGTCCAATGTCCTGTGAACTTCTGGATTACATCACGGAATGATGTCCATGCTGCCCCCACAGCCCAGAGCATGTGCTTTAAATGTCCAGGAAATGAGCTCACAGTGAGTCACCACCCATTAACCCTGCTTGTGGGTTTACAGACTTCTCTGTACAGCTGGCACATCAGAAAAGGAAGTTTGAAAGAATAAGGATTTCAACACTGGAGCAGGCTTGAGGGGTACAGAACGGGGAGTCAGCCCAGCCGTGGGATGGTGCTGGAGGAGGAGGGGATTGGCACTGCCACGAGGCTCTGCTCCTGGGCACGCTCCCGTGGGCACTTCAGGTGTGTCCAGGGAAGGGAATGGAGCACCAGGAGCAGCTTGGGGGGCTCAGGGGGGACCTTGTGGCTCTGCACAGCTCCTGACAGGAGGGGACAGCCGGGGGGGTCGGGCTGTGCTCCAGGGAACAGGGACAGGAGGAGAGGGAACGGCTCAGGCTGGGCCGGGGGAGGCTCAGGGTGGATATGGTGAAGAATTTATTGAGGGAAAAAGTTGTCAGGCCTTGGCAGGGGCTGCCCAGGGAGGTTTGGAATCCCCTGGAGGCGGAATGGAGCACCAGGAGCAGCTTGGGGGGCTCAGGGGGGACCTTGTGGCTCTGCACAGCTCCTGACAGGAGGGGACAGCCGGGGGGGTCAGGCTGTGCTCCAGGGAACAGGGACAGGAGGAGAGGGAACGGCTCACGCTGGGCCGGGGGAGGCTCAGGGTGGATATGGTGAAGAATTTATTGAGGGAAAAAGTTGTCAGGCCTTGGCAGGGGCTGCCCAGAGAGGTTTGGAATCCCCTGGAGGTGTCCAAGGAAGGACAGGACGTGGCAGCAGTGCTGTGGGCTGGGGACACGGTGTGGATCGGGCACAGGTTAACCCCTCAATGACCCTGCCGGGCTCTTCCAACTCCAGTCACTCTGTGGCGCTTCACCGCGGCTCCCTGGGCCGTGCCCGTGCCCGTGCCCGCCGGAGCCGCTCCTCGGACAGCAGCCGCCCCCGCTCCGTCTCGGCCACAGCCCGGCCCCTCCTTCCCTGCCCGTGACGTCACACCGCTCCGTGACGTTAGCCACACACGTGACTCACGCGCCCCAGCGCCACTGCCGGGTTCCGCTCGGGAGACACCGCCTTCCCGGCGTGCTCTGCGCCTCGCTGCGGCCGCGCCTCAATCTCCCAGCAGCCCCCGCGCGCGAAGCCCGCCGCCGCGCGCGGTGCTACGGCGCAAGGCACGCCGGGAGTTGTAGGCGGTGCGGGGGCGGAGGGGCGAGGCGGGCGGGCGGAGTCGGGCGGCGGCGGCCTCGGGCCTCGGGGTCGGTGTGTGCGGGGAGCGGAGCAAGGGGAACGGGCACCGCAGCTGCACGGCCTCGGCCCGGCCCCGCGCAGCCATGTCGGGGCTCCTGGGGAAGCTGTTCGGGACGGGCGCCGGCGGGAAGGGCGGCGGGAAGGGCCCGTCCCCGCAGGAGGCGATCCAGCGGCTCCGCGATACGGAGGAGATGCTGAGCAAGAAGCAGGAGTTCCTGGAAAAGAAGATCGAGCAGGAGCTGGCGGCCGCCCGCAAGCACGGCACCAAAAACAAGCGCGGTGAGCGTGGGGACCGGGCCGGGCCGCGCCGCACCCGGGCAACAGGTCGGGAGGGCCCTGGCCAGCGCAGACGCGGCTGTGCTGCTGTATTTTACACCGGAGCCTTCATTTTTGT